AGCTACCGCCTTGTGTGCGCTTGATTCCCCAATACAGCGTGCTTGTGTTTGCCTGTGAAGGAGTGTGGGCCGGCTCCGTTGAAACGTGGTTCCCATCCGCATGCCTCCCGGTCTTATTCCTTCGGGTTTACACTGGATATGGGGTATGTGGTTGGAGCTGTGGGTGGTGCAGCGCAAGCCATCCATGGTCCCTCTGTAGGCGCAGGCGTCCTGTGGCTTGCCACAGTGACAGGCAAATCCGAAACCGGATGCCGCCAACCATGTGCAGTTTTCCGCAGTCATAATTCCGGCTTCAAATGGCGGAACTGCTTGCGGAAGCCTCGTACGAAGCGTTCTGGCCATGACTCTGAAGTCATCTCCAAACGCTGTGTGGCCAAAATCAAGGTGTGACATAATAGAGCTGTCTGAGAATATCCTTTCGCCTTAGAAGAACCAGGCCAGGATTGGCTCGCGAATCCTAATGGATAGATGTTTCGTGGTGCGACCCACATGTGCACCACAGGAGCACGAGTAGTGATAAACAAGATTTGAGCAAGTCAACGAGCGCAATCTATCCTTCAGTAGCTTGTTGTAGCAAACAATTTTATGCGGGCCGCGAAATAGGCTCTCAATAGCAATGTTTGGGTCCGGTGAGTTTACCCGAAAAGAAATGTTAGCCCAGCACTCATTTGCTAATCTCGAAGATTGCAGCGAATGGCGCACTAGTTGCAAAACAAGCTGCTCACATAGTTGTTGTTGAAGCTGGTACAGAGCGTCAGCAGGTCGCACATTTCAGAGAGAACAGCTTTATTTTTGTAGTCGTAAATCTGGTCCAGATAGGCACGGCCAGATGTTGAACGAATAGCTCTCCAAACCTTGGCATCAACAGCAAATATTTGCATCAGGAATTATTTTCTGGGAGGTTATTCCTCTAGATTATAAACGGCAAACGGTAGAAGAGAGATTCTTGCGGCTGAACATTAGAGACCAACAAGCTTTTGGAGTATGTCAGCGAATCTTACCTTAGCGATGATACCCTAGGCACCGAGCCTTCGGAAGTGCACTGAGTGAGTGTCCCGTGTTTTTGAGAACTAAGTAAATCGTCAGCCGCCCTTATTCAGAAGTCCCGAAGAAGATGCAGTTTGGTGAGAAAAGATCGTCTGTGTCTGAAATCATGTTAAAGATTGGTAATGATCTGCGGACTTTCAAAATATCGTGACAGCTAATTTGCGATTATCGACTCTCTGATAAATCAGGAAGTAGTGTAATACGTAGGTAGTTTGTAGGACCTAATCGCTAATTTGCGTCGTAGATCAAAGTGATGATTCCTTTTGGCCACTCAGATAGGAGTGTATGGGAAGTAAGTGGACATTAAAAAAACGTTGCATAAGATGCACTGTTATAGTGGAAGCAAGGGTTTTAGGATACTTTGAACAGATATTGTCGATTCCCGAGACACTGTAATTTGCTTGCGGTAGAGGTGACATTGGATAAGGCGATGGTATTTACTTGGAGGTGATAAGGCGAAGGTTCCATGATGTTTGGTCACTGAGCCAAACTGCAGGGGTAGTACGTTCGCGATATCTAAGGCGGTCGTCTTGAGTGGTGGTATACAAGTCCTGACCTTTCTGTTGCTGTTCACATACTTGCAAAGCAGTTTGGTGTTGCTCGTAAACTTGTGTATCATGGTCTCCTGCCAATCATACGTGTCAGCTATAATGTGTGACGTGAAGTATTTCTCATTGTTTTGTACTCCTTTCATGTGGTATCACATGGGCATATAACCCCCAACTCTCGTCTTTTCCGTTACTTCATTTACGCGCTCTGCTTCGGATCCAGGTGTTGATCCGGTGCGATATTCGTAATCGTACAACTTTTGAGGCATGACGCAGTTAATTTTACCTCTCAGTTCATTCCATGCGTCGTTCACCGAACTGTGTAGCAGGAGGTCTCAGCCAACGGGTGCCGCTAGGCTGTGAAGCATGGAATGGTCAGTAGTAGTTCGTCGAGATCATCGCCCTTTATCAACACTGCCGGTACAACACAGCCAAATATTAGGATTGTGACAGCTACTACCTAGTGGAGTGTGGTACGAAACCATCAAAAATCAAATTCGCATTAGTCATGATTAAGCTCAGAATTGACGGTTGTTGCAACCGTGATGTCTGGTTGGTCGATGGTTATACAAAACATATATCCATGGACACACAGTGAGGGACGTTGATACTATTGAAGGCACATTCAAGTCGCACGTTGTAAGACAGTGGGAGTACGTTTTGAAACAGCGAATTGGACAGCGTCTAATAGAATGTCATCGCTATCTGCGGAGGAATTTAGGGGTCTGTAAACAACGGCCAAAAAGCATCAGACGTCTTCTCCGGCAGTCGACTATCTTGACCTGCTACGTTCAGTTGGCAAAACAAGGCGTCGGGAAAGAGCATCACACTTCAGATAATCTCTGTAGTGCACAGCAACACTGTTACCGCGACGCGCACCATCATTCCGAATAATCGACCTTCACTGAATTCAATTTCCGGATTTAGTATGTCGTCTGAGAGTTAAGTTTCAGTCACTGCTAATGTGTCCTAAGTTGTCGATGGCGCAGTCCCGGCAGAATAAAACCTGTGTTTACAAATTTAGTTGCATAAAGCACTGAGGTCAACAATTTTACCAATAAGCGACCCAGCTAGCTTATTCGACGAAAATTCGTCGATGATGAAAAACCGTGGAAATTAGACGAGTTTGTACAATCATTTTGGAAATGAACTATCTCAGTGCAGTTCAGTCGTCCTAAAGTGCGGGGGTCCAGTTGGCATGACTCACGTCGCAAGAATAACCAGAAATAACAACGTCAAAATGGTGGGGCTGAATTGAAATAGAAGGTAAAGAAAATGAAAACAAGGAGGCGAATTAGCCTAACCAGAATGAAACGAGAAATAACAATTGGATGCAATCTACCGAATCCAGGATCGCCACTGACTGCGCCATGTCTGACAAGGTCTCCAACCATTGGTGTGAACCACCCCGAGGCCCCCAAACAGGAAGACGGCACGCACCAGCCTGACCAAGTCTCTCAGTCAATTTCTTCATGCCTCGATGCTACGTCATGGACTAAATACCTACCTAACAGTATGTATTGAGGACAACTTTTAAATGAATGATTTTTTCAAGGAGTTATCGCAAGCATTTTACGTTTCTCCGGTTCCAACGAACGTAGCCCAAGCACTGAAGAATTGGCTACGTAGTGTCAGAAACTACATGAAGCCTTAAGATTTACGCGATCAAAGTGCCACAGCGTAACAGGTATGATGAATACGCTTCCATGCGAAGGTTACCTTTCAATGCAGATGCCACCTACTCTAGCACTGCAACAATGACCCTGTCTGTCATGCTGATATGTAAAGATATTCTTCTAGTATGCGTTTTCTGATCAAATCTGAGATGCGACACATTGCTGTTGATTAAGAATGTTGTTTTTTTACATTCGCAGCGGGTATAACCGATAGCAGACTGCCGTACGTGGTATTGACATTTGCGAGAGTTTATGGCTTTAGTCACAGATGTTATGAGCCACGCAAACATGCGGAGCGATCGGATTATCACGTTTCCTGTGTGATGCGCTCATACTTCAGTTATTCATTTAAGGTTACTGTGCTAAAGGGCCTAATTGCGTATTATCACAAACGCAAGGGTGCATACGTTTGGGAAACGCATGTATCAAGGATGCATATCCTGCTGGCGCGTGGTGTAGTGCTTTGTAATACTGCACGGGATCAGAAAAACAAACTATCCTTAGCACAGACTCTCGATGATCTTGTGTTGCACCCTGACTGTGTTTAAATAAAGACGACGAAGTTACTTTTCGTAGAATAGGCAGGGTAACCTAATTTGCACGAAGATCCATCCAATTGTGCTAGGTGGGGAGTACACGTAACTGTAAAGTGCACAGTGGGGCTTGCGTTCTGTCTATAGAGCAACGACTGAAGTCACACCGCCAATCAGCATGATGCATTCGCTTAGTTCCAAAATGTTTCTTCATAATTCGCTTCAGGGTATTCCTGACTTCGTGACTATATTCGATGAAACGCGAATTTCGGGCATTATCATGTAACGTTTTTAAGAGATTGGTGGAGTAGGGTAACATGACTGAATATGATAACAACAAACTGTCAACGATTCAAAAGAAACTTGAAATTCGCAGTCCCAAAAAGAACAGGAACGACCGAATTTAAAGTTCCTGTCTGTATTAGCACATGACAGAGCCTCTGGTGGCGATTCGAACTCAATGGGCAGTCCAATGAGACACCACAGGGTCTATTACCAGACGTGAGTTGACGAACTTCGGTGTTACTCGGTTATCTCAGCACACAGACAGAACTGCGCAAACATCAGTGGTGGAACATGGTCGATCTTCTAGTGTTCTCTGGTCCACACAAGAATACTGGTCACGTAGCAGCATCGTAAACCATCCACTTTAGCCAATAAACTGGTATCAAGTACGTCTTTATGAGTAACAGCCGTTGAAAAGCAATACTAGGCTTGCGAATGTGCGCAGTACGCTCGAAGATAAAGCTGATGCAAGTGATAAACAATCCAAACAAATAGATAATTAATCACTTCGAGATGTTGTTTAGTAATCTCGGGAACTAGAGGTGAGTTAGTCCGGTCCTGCACCATTGTTTTATACTGTCAAAGAGTCAACCTAATAAAGGATATTCAAAACAAGAAGGATGCAAAGGCGTAGAATTATATCAAACATTAAACAAATAAAGCAATCGATCGAATTGACAAGATACGCATATTCGAAGCCTGGTGGATATGTTGAAGAAGTGAAATACATGGAGTTTAGATCGACGACTCCATTAGCGTTGAGTTCGGAAATTTCATCATCGGACTGTCGGTCTCGTGCTATCAAGTATCTATACAAGACTGTCCCGAACAAGGAGACCAAAAGAATAAAGTGCGAATTTTATTCGGGAATAACGGAAATGTCCATCCGAGCGGATAGTCATGCGGCTTACCTGAAGTTATCTACTTGGTTGACGACGTAAAAAGTATGTGCCACATGTTGCGCATCGAGGAACCGTTTCAAATGTGGGATGAATTGCTGCAACTCATTGAACCGGTCTCTGTAAGGGATTATAATGGCTGAACGATGCGAACGAGGCGCGTCTGACGGCGAACCATCAGAACCGCATTTGGTCCATCCACCGGCATTTAATTGTGCACATACAGTACACAGCACAGGATACCCTGTCGATGATAACTTATAATACGTCCATAAAACAATGGATGTGAAGAAAAAAAGACAAAGAGTAATGATCCACAATTTCCTCCTAGGAAATGGACTCTAAAATGCAGAGAACAGTAATGAGGATAGGCCGTTGTAAGCATTGGGGGTATTTGAAGTGACAATGGTGTACAACATGCGAGTCCCTATCATCCTCATTATTAACATCGCGGTGAATGGTACCTCGAAGCTAGGCTCTGCACTGCATTACAACAACTCTCAAACAAGAGTTGAAAACGCAGATAAATCTTGTCGATCAGTTGGTCACGACAAAAGGTAACAGAAAGGCATGTGATTTGGCCCACGCAAGTGTGCGTCTGTAATTGGCAAATGCATGTAATTTGGCCAATCAGTGGTTGGTTTACTGCTGCAAGCACTAGACCGCCAACCAAATTCTTCACAAAAAGCCATCTTCCCTTGAAAAGTGTCAGCAGGAAAGAAGACTGAGCAACGCTGCTTTCAGAGAAACATTATGAAACCTTTATCAACGCAGACACGATAGGTTGCGATATGTCAACATTTCGATTGTTCTCAGCGGTCACAAACACAGCACAAACGGAACGGATACACGAATATATATATATATATATATATATATATATATATATATATATATATATGGTTGACGGCATCCGGTTTCGAACTTGCCTGTCACTGTGGCCAGCCACAGGACGCCTGCGCCTACAGAGGGACCATGGGTGGCTTGTGCTGCATCATCCAAAGCTCCAACCACACACCCCATATCCAGAGCAAAACCGAGGGAATAAGTACAGGAGGCATGTGGATGGAAGCCACGTTTCATCAACGGAGCCGGCCCACACTCCTTCACAGGCAAACACAAGCACGCTGTATTTGGGAATCAAGTGCACACAAAGCGGTGGCTGGACCGTAGTCCGCTCCACACTGAGTGCATGGAACCGCTCTTTGAGCCTAGCACGGTCACAAGAACAGTGCACTCCGTCCCCTCTAGCAACAAACGATTGTCTCATGGAGCCAGTATGGACAAGGCAGGGGGTAATGGACAGGTAGGCACTTTGTCAACATGCGCAGTCACACCGGAGATATCAAAAAACAGCCAATCATTTGAAATGGCATTATCAAACAAAATATACGTTAAAGCATACGGCTATACCGACATAACTCTTCTCTAAATTAGCGTATGAAGTAAGTTGGTTAGCAACGAATCTGCGATTAGCACAAAATGTCCAGAAGTTACTCAAAAATGCTACAAACGTAATACAATTAAAGAATATGTCCACAATTAGCGAAAGTATCGTGGCAAGTTAATAGAAGATTATTCCGGTAGGCAGTATAAACCAAATAAAGTGGAAGGAAATTTATCCAGCTTAAAAAGACCTAGTTTAAGTGTAAGATGGTTTAGCCCAACTGCGGTGAGGAAGCATCAAGAATGCAACATCAACTTCAGCATGGGGCACAATACAGTAACATATACATGTACATATATACAGACATACAAATCCAGTATGTTACTGGTTAATATGGCATAGTTTTATGCAATTATTGGCCAGAATAAAATTACAGCCTTCAACTTTCCATTCTACGCTACCTGCACATGGACGCGAACAATTGCCCCTTCACCTTGGATGTTTTCCTCACTTTTACTTTCCTCATTCATCCATGCAACACAATGTGCCCACTGCGAGTCACTGTCTGTATAATTTTAACGATGCCTGATAAGACGTGCTTCGATGCTATCGAGAATAAAGTATTTATTTGTTTTTTTTACAAGCTCATTAGGAAACCTCGCCGTCATTGGCCGTGAAGGCTTCGACGAGTCGCTAGCGGTTTTTTGTTCTGTGTACGGTAGGTATGTGCATGGCAGTATATCGCAATATCTCGTTTTAATTGGGGCTACCAAGACCAAGGACGAATTGGTTCTTCCATCTTATTCTGTCCAGCTTGACCCAGTTCTTCATGACTCCTTCGTGTAAATTGGGTCGGAGTGCCTAAAGACAGTTGGTTACTTAACTTGCACCGGCAAAGTCTTGACTTGCGGGCCTGTCCTCACCTCGTGAAATGCGACCGTATAGCAGGCAACACTCCGCGTCAATTGACTGCATTCGTGCCCATTCCTCGGGCTCTCGGGCATCGAGAATGACGACGGAGATGCATTGTGTCATGCAAGACGGACACGGTCTGTGATTTCCGATAGACCTGCGCGACAACGCGTCGGCGCTTGCATGCTTTACCTCAGGGCGGTGTTGACATCCGAAATCGTACTCTTGTAGTTTCTATTGCCAGCATGCGTTCTGCCCCTCGGGATCGCGGAAGTTCTGATGATAAGTTCGTACGATGAACTTGCGACTTCACAGATAGTACGGGAACTGCTCAATATAATACACCAAGGCTAGTATGTCTTTCCGTCTTGTGCAGCACTTTCCCACCTCGAGAGACTTGCTGGCATAGGCGATGACAGGTTCTCTAAATTCCGGTGTTCGCTGTGACAGAGCAGCACTGATACCGATACTGCTGGTAACCGCGTCTAAGTTAAAAGCGCTCGAGGCTGGTCTTGTATCCGGAAATTTCAACACTGTGGCCTTGCATAAAGCGGTACGCAGATTTTCGAACAACTGCTGCTGAAATGCTTCCCAGCTAAACGCCAAAGTCAAAAGTCCATTCAGAGGTAAAGCGACAGTAACGGAGCAGCGTACGAATCGCCGATAGTGTAAGGCGGGGCCGAGGAAGCTGCATATTTCGTCGGTGTTCTCTGGAATGGACCACGAACGGACGCGCCTGACTTTCGTCGGGTCACAACACACTCCTTCTTCAGATATAATGGGACTTAGGTAGGCCACTTGAAATTTTAAATAGTGACATATGGAGGGCTTCAGTTTTAGCCACGGCTACACAAGCAGCTCCAAAACGAGAGCGAGGCCTTCGCTGTGCTCCAGTTCAGTTTTCCCATGAACGATAGTATCGTCGAGGTAGACTAGTTAAAGTTGTGGTATGTGCTCAGACAGTGCGGTGTGCATCAAGAGTTGAATAGTGGTCGGAGCGTTAGTTAGCCCGAAAGTCAACTTAAAATTCGAACAAACCAGATGGGACGATAAATGCGGACTTACATCGATCGTTTGGGTGCAGCTCGACCTGCCAGTAGCCCGAGGCTGTGTGCAGGATATTGACCCAGGGTGACCCGGACAGAGCATACATGGTATCATCCATCCTTGGTAATGGAAACGGTTCGTAACGTCTGATTGCATTCATCTCACGATAATCGACACAGAGACGCAACTCTGCACCCTTTTTACTAGGATGACTGGGCTGCCCAAGGTGATTTGGACGGCCGAACATTAACGCGATTCAACATATCCCCGAGAATGCACCTCAATTTTTCCCGAAAGTGAATCGGCACACGCCTTTCTGGCTGGCGTGTTAGTGATGCGATTTCGATGTCAATGCGATGTTGCTCGACGACCTATATCACCATCGGTCCACGCAAACGCAGGTATGTGTTTGTCTAAGATGTTTTCTAGATCACTGCAGGTCAGAGTCGGAGCTGCCGCCAGACGATTCTGAAAAAGATTTCCGTTTCGGTTCCTCTTTTAGTGCGCAGGGCAATATCGGATAGACAGATGAGCCGAACGTAATCAACTGCGCGCTAACCTCAAAGGTTTGTCTGGCTAAGTCAATCTTCGCCTTAAACTGAGAAAGAAAATCTACTTCGAGTACCACGTCTCAGGACAGGTTCGCGACAACAAAACAACGGTGAGTGGCTACATTCTTCCTCGGCTGAATAGTGGCCTCGATCCAGCTGGCTGGTTTCATGGGGTTCCATTGGCTGCAATAAGGCTAACCGATCTATCTCGCCGGATGCCTGCGTCCTTTGGGACTATATGAACTGATGAGCAACTGGCACCGGTACCCAGTGACATTTTTGCGCCTATAGCTCACTTGAAACTAAACACTATAGGAGAGACTGCAGGGTGAACGTCGGAAACAACTGGAACCGTATACTTACACACTTGGGACTTACCACGTTGATTGTGTCCGCAAGTGTACGCAGTGTTTCCAACCAGTCGACAGTAACGGCAACCGCTGCGTAGTTGATTGAACAGGTCCTAAATGGGACTTCGAGGATTGCTCGTTTTGACTTGTTGTCGCCGAAACCCAGGTCGGCTGCTCGGTCTCGGAAAGTCCCTGCTTCGTACCGCGGTCACCGGTCGGCTATAATGCTGGTACGCGTTCGTGCTCTCGCGCGAGAGAAAACCACTGATTTGTTCCCGAAGGGCCGCTAAGTTCAAGACTTCTTCGCGCCAAGCAAGTTGCTGTTCCGGCAGCTCTTTAAACGAGTCGCGGTCCTTCTTTATCAGCACGACTTGCGGAACGACGCGTTCGCCCTGGGTTTTGTTGTCTTTATCTGCATAACGACGCAATGCCAACCAAGGGAACGCCGCGACAAAGCATAGAAATCGCTCCTCCGGCTTTTGGTGGCGTTCGTGAAGATGGCGATGCTCCCACAAGTTTAGGGAAAGTGACAGCATCGACCGTAGTCGGTTGAAGGTTGAATTGTAGACGGTTGCACGTACGTTCACGATTGACGACGAAATGTCATAGACATCCCCAGCTAAGATGCTCAAAGGAGTGGATGGTTTCTCTTCCACAGGAAAGCGCGTGACATACCAACGGGTATGTAGTAACCCATTGGTCGTAATTGTCACCGATGTGAAACTTCTCCTGGTGCGTTGGTGGAGGTGACGCTGTTACGCGAACTTGTGCCGCATGGATAACGGTTTTTAGCATCATGAAAATAGTGCCAGCGCGGGAGTTTACGTCCTAGTTCTTAACGGCACTGAAACCGGACAGAACTGCAAAAAACGCAATAACGTTGTTGTATGACAGGAAGAAAAAAGAGAAGAAAACGATTCGAGAACAAGTAGAGTCACCAAATAGGTAATGTGCGTCTGATTGAGTATTCCGAGTTCCTCCTCGTTCAGTGAAAACTTAGTAATCCTGGGGAGCTGGAACGCAAAACGAATACACCGAATGCTGCTGAATAGAGTTATCACAACCAGCTAATGGAAGATCAGGATTAATATGACGTGTATATCGCTATCAAGCAAGCAGTAAGTGAGATACAACGGATAGACAGATAGTCAGGGTCAAAAGATGGTTGGCGACATCCGACTGTGGCCAGTCACAGGACGCCTGCGCCTACAGAGGGACCATGGATGGCTTGCGCTGCACCACCCACAACTCCAACCACACACCCCATATGCAATGTAAACCCGAGGGAATAAGACCGGGAGGCATGTGGATGGAAGCCACGTTCCATCAACGGAGCCAGACCACACTCCTTCACAGGCAAATACAAGCACGCTGTATTTGGGAATCAAGTGCACACAAAGCGGTGGCTGCACCGTAGTCCGCTCCACACTGAGTGCATGGAACCACTCTTCGAGCCTAACACTGTCACAAGAACAGTGCACTCCGTCCCCTCTAGCAACAACCGACTGTCTCCTGGAGCCAGTATGGACGAGGCAGGGGGTAATGGACAGGTAGGCACCTTGTCAACATGCGCATCAAGCGCAGCCACACCGGGAATATCAAAATACAGCCAACCACTTGAAGGACAACAAATAAAATAAATCGAGCAATGCACAAGGAAACGTTGACATAAATCTTAAATTAAAAGACAGGAGCCTTGTTAGTTACATAGTTTGGGAAGCTACACTTAGTTAGTCGAGCAGTGATCGACCCTGCTGTCATGAGCAGAACTGCTCCAGTGGTAGGAACAATTGAATAAAGTGAAGACGCAAACGCAAATACAGACAACGATGTGAGGGAAAATGAGTAATAAAATGCACGACTCACGAAGTGGATTGTGTAGCATGTCGCTGAAAAAGAGTGAATGCAAAGGTGCAATTTGTGACTGCGCCATATCGGAAGCAGCGTCTGATCACTGCTAGCCGATCCCGTAATCCCCATCTATGAAAATGACATATATGGATCTAATGGGGCATCGCAGTAGATCCATGCCGTATTGATAAAGAATCCGACGAATATGGCTTGGTCATACAGATGGCTTAAGTTTAGCAGACGATCCGACGCCCATCTAGATAAGATTTTTGACAAACTAGTATTAGTAATAGCCACTAAGTGGTTCTGCCAAATATGAGTGGACACTGTCGCTGAAGCTTGTCCATGTTCTGAGAAAGCGGTGATCTTGTTTCTAGCCCATACCACGAGCGTATTAAAATTGACTGGCCAATATCCACAATTCATATCATGTTTGCCGGTGGCCTATAAAAACCACGCGGTACTTACTTTGTCAACAGTACCCAGGAAATGTAAACGATCAGTCAACCCGAGCAGTTCTCCGTTAACTGTGAGCATCGAATGTGTGCCTAGAGAATGTGCTGAAACAGACACCGAGCATTCTGCTAATACCGGCGAACACTGCTACAGAGCGGGATTATACCCTCACCGGTTCTGCAGACTACAATACCGTGTAAACCTCGGGCTGCTGTTCGGCACTACCACAGATGCGAAGTTTGTGACCACCTTAACGAAGATTTGCCGAAACTACTGCTTTTCATGCACGTCCCGCAGGTGCATTACATAACCGAAGCATATAGGCATCATTTGGTATACCGTGATCTCCAGACGTTCACGAAAACACCTTCACATAAAGTACGAGGTGCTCAAAGATGAAAATGAAATTGTTGACTGCAAGGAATTGTAGAGAGAAGCATGATCCTCGTCAAAGCTTGTAACCTCGTTCCAACTGCCATATGCGAAAAGTCCTCTATGACAGCGTGCGCAAGCCCGTGGCAGTATTGAGTCGAGAATTAAGGTATGATGTGGATCGACGGATTCAGAATTAGTGTCCGATTTTGAAGAAAAGTGGGTACTGAGTGGTTTCCACTACGAGTTTGCGATCAGGAGGCAAGCTAGATGTCCGTTGCGCAGTTTTCGCCAGTTAACTCAATGGTTCGGAGAATGCAGGGTTGACAATAAGCGGGAGAACTAAGCATTGCCAAAATGGCGACAAAACGTTATAAAAAGCCCTCAATACTCAATGAATCGACTCAGTTCTATCCTCGTAGTCCAAAAGGTATTTCTCAATCCTCCATAACACAGAAAATTATGAGTAAAAATGTCAGAGAATTCGTTCTATTCCTCAAGGAAAAACACATACAAAACAACAGCAAATGTCATCATCGAACGGGTTTCAGCCGCCATAGGCCGTCGTTGAGATAATGAAGGTTTTCCACTCCAACTCCTTTATTGACTTGAAGACTGAAAGAAAACGGAGTCAGGGAAATAGTGTTAATAAAGTTTACCCTAATGTTACAAAGCAAGTGAGCGCCATGCACTGATATCTTCCTTTGAGAAATTAAGAAGATTCGGAGTATGCTACATCAACCACACAACACGCCAAATCTTGCTTAATAGAATGATAGGGTTTAATGAATCACACATGTAATAGACAAGCAGAAGAAAAGTGCTGAACGAAAAACCGGTCTGCATCGGAGCTCACACAATGGGTCACGGAGAAACGACGATCATTTTGTGGAAATAAAGCGGTGAGTGTGCTTCGGATCTCGGTGTGTACTCGCCGTGGTAGAAACCGTTGAAAGTTAAAAGAGAAGGGCTTCAGATGGAGCACTAATTGAAAAAGAATTGTGAAATCGCGTAACTGACTAAGTGCTATCATTTTTGTCGTGCGTTGTACGCAGGTACCACTAACAATGATGGGATAGTTACGGGAAAGTGCATCTGCCACGTGGGCTTGCATCAGGGAAGTCGTATCCAGAATCAGACTGGACAGGTTGTATCACACATGCTAACCACCGTTAACTAAAGAAAGATAAACACACGAGTAAAAATCGCAGGCCAATTCCAAGCTAGTTCACTTAGCCGTAAGCAAGAATGTTGAAAAGTTCATGCGCCTAGAAAACACAAATCTGTGAAGCCAAAAGGCCCCGTTACCGTTACCTGCACTCTCCACATGTGTCAAACGTCTATAAGGTGATCCCAAACTATACAGTTGCCGATGTGCACTAGTAATCACGCTACTGGTGTGCAACGTTGCATCACAGGGAATCAGTCTTAAATCATAGAGGAATACTCGAAATGATTTGGCACGCTGGTGGCCCGGGTTTATTGTTCCTCTGCTGGTTGGTTCGCCAAGCTTGAGAAATACGTCTGATCTCAATTGTCACTAGGTTATTTGCCTCGATCGACCTACATAAGCTGGCTGGCAACCGTGAAAGCCAGATGAGAAAGGAGCAAGTTGGGTTTCGTCAAAATCGCAGCTGCATCGATCACATATTCACATTACGCCAATGGCTGGAACACCGGCACATTTATTTGAGACCCAGCGAACCGTGTGCTTCGACATCAAAACTGCCTTCGTCTCGTTGAATCGATGTGCCCTTTGGGACTGTCTGCTCAGGAAAGGTTTGCCAGAAAAATACGTAAATGTCATAAGAGCGCTGTACGCCCATAGTTCGGGTAGCGTGAGGGTTTAAGGCAAACTGTCTCCAGCGGTGTGTAACAAGGTTGCCCGCTGTCACTCCTCTTTAAGTTCGCCACTGATGAACTCATGGAAACGATGTGTGTTAGACACGGTCTGCGAGGTGTGGAGCTGGTTCATGGTGAGTGACTTCTTGAATTGGAGTTTGCCGACGATACTGCTCCTATCTGTGACAGCTTCCTAACGTGTCAAGCTACACCGGACGGATTAACACTAGTTGTCAGTCACTTCGGGCAATTCTTTGCATCCTCGAAATGCAAAGTACTTCTTCAAGATTGGCAGGAACCCAGCCGTGGTGATCAGAGTGAAGCCGTCCAGAAAACCAAGAATCTCAGAGGCTATACTAACGCCCGATAAATGGAAGATGAAGTCACGAACCGTATAGTAGAAAAAAGGAGACCCTTTTGCTAATCACCGTCACCTGTGGCACCGGAGCGACATCACCCTCGCCCTGAAGATCAGTTTACAAGGCAGTCGTACGTTAAAGCCACCCGTAAGGAAACAAAACCTGGCCCATGAGGTTGAGAGACATAAAATGGCCAGTTACGTTCGACGATCTTGTCGCAAGGAGACTGGACCTTAACGTGGTGTGGCGGTTTGCATACCTCATCGACATATTGTGTTACACTTGGTGGCGCCTCCGCGCCCCTTGAGAGCTACTCCTACCAGGTTGGTCAATGGTTAGAGGTCAGATGAAGTCAGTCTTCCAGGTTAGGGGTGTGAAATGGGACGGTGTCCATTTCTGTAAAACCGAATCGTTGCCACATCCGCTGCCATGCGGGCAGACTTTTGAGCCAAAGGTTTTGGTTAAAGACCCTGTCTAGGTCCGGGTGCCATGGCAGTATCTCAGCACGTGTACCACCATGATTACTTTTCGAACCTTAACCATATCCTGTATCGGCCGTCAGGCAGCTTATCAAGGGCCGTCTTATCTGTTGCATACGGCAGAGTGGATAAGCGAAAACACGCTACCGCTGGTGTCTCCTTCCTTCCCTTTCCACCTGTTTCTCTTACTCTCCTCCCATTTCTAATTATTAGCCTCCCTTCTATAATTCCTTTTGATGGCAGCAACCGCGGTCACTGAAGTCATGCCATCGGCAGCTATTTTCCCGCACCACCAATTGGAAACCAATCGCCAACGTTTCCCTGGCAACGTTCAACGTTCCCACTCTGAGACAAACAGGTCGCAAGCACGTTGAAGACGCTACGTACTGACGTGTGCTGTGGTTCCGGAACTAGGATCAATGACCCCCACGGAGTTGTTGAATTAACTGCGCCCGGTTTGTCCTCTCACTATTGGTTGCACGCATCCGGAGAGTCTGATGCAGCAACAACTGGTCAAGCTTAAGTGGGCATTGTTCTCAGCTCCAAGGCCGAGTCACCACTGGTTGACTGGATTCCCGTGAACAGCCGTTTGTGCGTAGTCCGTTTGACGATATCAACTAAGTTTGACTCACAAAGTAGCACTAGCCAACGTTTGTTTGTGGTTTCCGCTTATACCCCCTACCGACTGCAGTTTTGATGCTGTGAAGGACTCTATAAAACCAAACTGAACACGCTAGTACGCAGTGTTACCAGTTCAGAGACCATGGTACTCGCAACGGATATGAATGCGCAAGTAGGCTGTCAGTGCTAAACAGAACATCTGCTAGGTGGTAATTATGCGTTTTACTCCGAACGAATGGAGAGTTGCACAGTTGCAACTGTGTGCGCAGCATCAGCTTTTTCTTAGTAGCACAGCTTTTAGACACAGTGGGCGCCGAAGTGTCACTTGACGTCCACATATAGCTGATCAACGACGGACTCAAATATACCGCGTTCCCATAATTTACAGGTGGTGTGGCTCCACCCTGGATTGTCGACACTGATCACGCCCTCGTACGCTGTCGTTTTTCCCAGACCTTTACCGAGTGGCATACCAAGCGTCTCACTCGATTGGCGACTGATTAGTTATCTCAGCCCTCAATCACGCAAGCCTACCAGGATGCACTGCCAACCGAACTTTCGGTCTGTTTTCCCAAAGAAAATGTGTTACAATTGAATAGGATCTCGGCCGCCATGCAGGAGCCTCCGCTTGGGGCACTATCAATTGTCACCGCACAGTCGCTAGATAACAGAGAGGTCGGTGAACCTGTTGAAATCCAGAAGAACCTCCCGGCTGCCACTGAGCACAATGTGACCACGCGGACTATAAGCGCGAACTAAAGTGCAGCCTGCGTGCCGAAAAGGAAGCCTGATGGACTAGTCGGACTCAAGAAATGGAGGAAGCAGAAGTAGTAGACAAGTATCGCAAGCTATTCCTACTGATCTGCACCACTGGTCCCGGAAAACCAGACGTCATTGAGACAATCAGAGACGGTGTGGGTGCAATGATTCACAATAAGTAGCGCCGCATGGCTCGTTGGGCGGAACACTTTCGAGAGTAGTTCAGTTGTCCTACTATTTCTGGACCTCTTCTTACACAGGTGTTGCCGGCTGAACCATGGCTAATTAGTTTGAAGACTCCGTCGAAGCCTGAGGTCGGAGACGCGATCGCGGCCTTTAATCACTTTCGTGCTGCTGGCACGGATTACCTCGCACCCGCACTATTTAAGTATGGTAATGAGGTCCTCTGTAAATCACTGATCACCCTTTTCAAACAGGTTTGGGAGGCAGAGGCCTTCTCAGCTACACTGAGTAAATCAATCATAGTGGCGATATACAAGAAGAGCAACTGCACCAACTGTGCTAACCAGAGGGGTATTAGCCTAACGCCAGTGGTGACAAAATTATTGGCCTTAATTTTCGTTCGTCGCCTCACTGCGGTGTAACAATCACGGATTAGGGAACAGCAGGCAGGCTTCCGCCCAAGACCACATATTCACTCTGCGGCAGGTGCTAGAGCAGCACCACACATACCGCAGACCGACAATAGCTGTTCCCGGACTTCAAGAGTGTGTTCGACTCAATCGACCGATGCATTCTGTTCGAAATGCTTGTGCGGAAAGGTGTTCCCATGAAATATTTGAACATTTTACGTAGCCTGTACTCAAAAACGACAGGCAGAGTCTACGGTGATTTGTCGGATGCCTTTCCGACAACATGTGGTTTTCGTCAGGGCTGCTCAATTTCCCCATTTTTGCTCAATTTCGTCGTGGACTCCATCATGAAGTATTCCCTTGCGGATGCTCAAGATGCAGGGGTTAAGGTGCTGCCTAGTTTAGAGCTAGTTGATCTTGATAATGCTGATGATATTATTCTGTGTTTAACGATGTTTGGGAGGCGCAATTAACTCTGGATAACCTCTCAAGAGTCGTCCCATCATTTGTTGTAGGACTACATGCCACTCGATGACCCCTCGACTCTTGATGGCGATGAACTTTGGATAGGTGATCACGTCACCTACCTTGGCAGCTGCACAGGCAACGATGGACACACAGCAAATGAAGTCACGCATTGCAATAGCTAGGACTGCCTTTTTTGAATCTATGAAATCTGTGGCGTCAGAAGGAAGCTTCCCTCTGTCTAAAAAATCGTGTATACAAGGCTTTAGTGAGGGTGATCCTACTCTATGAAAGTGAGACTTGGTCCCTCCGATCTGAGGAAATGCGGCCGCTCAAGTTTTTGATCACCGTTGTCTGCGAAGCATTGAAGGTGTCGGATGGCAGCAGTGTGTCCGTAATAATGATGTGCGTGTATTAAACAGTAATAACCAGGCTAGTTCCTTAGAACAACAGATAACAGTGAATAAGTAGTGTTGGCTTGGGCGCGTACTACGTAG